CTTACAAGGCAGGGATGGGACTTGGACCCACTCTGGGTACCACCAAAAATATACAAACCTGCTGTCTCTGACCCCCTCCCCCACACTCTACCCTGAGCTCCCCCTCACACAACTGTCCTGACTCCCAACCTCCACCCTGAGCTCCTCCTACACCCCAACCCCTGCCTGAGTGCCTCCCCCTTCACAGTCCATCCCACACTTACATTTCTTACAGATGCTGTTGTATTGCAACACCCGCAACTTCCTGCCCTCAGTGCCTGCCAGGGTTTGCAATACAGCAGTACCTGTAAGAAATGTAAATTACTTTCATCCCTACTTAGGGTCATGGTACAATTGTTTCTTTCTATCTCTGGGACTTCCTTGCAGCCTCCTTTATCTGTCTTGTGGTTTTTCTAACTGCCTCTCTCTCTCACACATATAGCCACTCCAAATCAATCCCCTGTCCCAGTGCATTTGCACTTTGCCACATAGCTCAGTTCCTTGTATGTACCTGGTGGTTTGGGAAATGGTTCCTGTCATGTTTTCTTATTCTGTAAGGGAGCTTAATAGCTTTTTATAATTATCCCGAATGAAAGACAGCTATTATATCCATCAACTTCATCAAGATTTCACCCAAACCCCAGCATAATGTTACTTTTACTGCTCAAAATAGTAGAAAGTTTAAGGCTTTGCTTCAAATTTCCCTGATTATTGAAATTTGTATTAAATGTTTAGTGAAGCTAAAGGTAAGATTATGTCTACTATGCCCAAAAATTATTAAAAGAATTGAATTATCTTGTTCATTTGTTTCCTTTCTGGACCAAGATTTTTCTCTCATATATATGATCTGACAATTTGGGAGTTTTAAATATTTTAAGCAATGTTACTACCTTTTTAAGCCTCTTGAATCTCATTATTATGTCTAATAGGTTTCACTGCTAGCAATTATTTTCCTGATACCAGCTTAGATTTTTAGTTGAATAAACAGAGCAGCTGCTCTTGATTATATTCTCCCCAACATCTCAACTAATTTAATGCTCCTCTTTCCATAATGTTTATGCCCTTTACTTCCCCCTTTCTTCTATCTCCAATTCTTTATTATTTCTTCATTCATTAGCCCATTCTTAAAAGATATTTATTTTGTTCCCCTATAGTTGTTGTTGTTTTGACATTTTTGGGAAGGCAATGAGTAATATAAAAATAAGCAAGGTGCCAAGAATGGAATGAAAAAGTCTTGCTTTGTATATTTTGTGGCTATATTTTAACAAAAATTCTGTGGGAGGAAAGGTATACTCCTGAACCAACAGAACACTTGCGAGGGCTCTTCTAGACTGCATTCCTCTCTTGGAAGAGGAATGCAAATGAGGTAGATCAAAAATTCAAATGAAGCGCGGATTTACAAATCTCACACTTCATTTGCATAATCGCATGAGCGATTTTGGAAAAACAAACAAACCCGCAGTCTAGATGGGGTTCTTTCAGAAAAAAAAAAAACCTTTTTTGAAAGAACCCCTACTTCTGAAAAAATGAGTACAGGTTTTTTCGAAAAAGGTTTTTTTTTAAACGAACCCCATCTAGACTGTGGGAGGGGGGGTTCCCGAAAAATGCTTTTTCGAAAAAGCGTGCTCACCCGATTATGCAAACGAAGCATGAGATTTGCAAATCTGTGCTTCATTTGAATTTTCAATCTGCTTCATTTGCATTCCTCCTTCGAGAGAGGAATGCAGTCTAGACATCGTAGGTAACTAACTGATTTTAGCATCCGTACTTGGTAACAGTGAAAATTGCTGTATCTATGCTACTTCCTGCTCAGGAGGAGATCATGTTTAAAAAAAAATCATTACAGTTCTGGACACTTATTTGTCTTTATTTTGTAAGTCAAGCTGGAA